ATCTTCTAATTTCAAACGTGGTGTCACTATTATAGATCAAACACTAACACTAAATAAAAAGTTGTATTGCAGGGTGCTGATGAGTGCAATGATTGTAAAAACATGAAGGATGGTGAATATTGTCTTGAAAAGTGTCCATCGATGAAATATGCCAATTCAAGAAAATTGTGTCGTCCGTGTCACGAATTTTGTTCTATAGGGTAGGTTAAATCAGAATCGAATTTTGACATTTTAATTCATTACAATGATCAGATATTTCACCATGTACCAGTGTTTATATTGGACATAATATGAATGTAACTATCCGAATATTAACGTGAAGTGCCTATATACTATAGATGCACAGGGCCTTCAAATGTGAGGAAACATGGCGGCTGCAAAGCATGTATCAGGTCGAAATACTTAGATGACGGGACCGTGGTAAGTTATGTATTCGTTAGTAATATATTCGTAATCACTCAAATCAAAAACTCTGACGCGATTTACAAAATAAGTGATTCAGATAACTCTCTTTAATTTAGGTACTACCGGTAAAACCTGAGAGAAGCGAAACGATTGTTATAAATAAATACATAAATAAATCAATTAAATATAAATAAATACGCATATTAAGTTGGCACAGGGTAAAGCCAGCCGTGTTTACAGAGATTCAGTCACTCGGAAGGTCTGTTTGATTGACTAGTTAGGGCACTTCCTTGTATATGTATATACGTTGAAACATTCATACGTTTACAGACAACGAGAACATTATTGTTTTATTACAGGAATGCATTGACCCAGCCGCGCCGTCTTTTAAATGTGTATCAGAGGATGAAGAAGAATGTCTTGGTAAGTTGGTCACTACCATTGAGGTAATAATCTTATTACCACAATGGTCACTACCAATCACCTTGTTTCAAGTTTTTACTAGACCCATTACTACGATACTTGCTTTCCCAGAAAAAAATAATGTTCTTACGTAAGCTTCGTAATTATGGCAGTCAATACGTGATGAAAGGGGAGAATACAATACTATTTCTGGGGCAAAGAAAAAGTCGCGTAGCTCTCGTAAATCTTGACGGCTATTCGTGAATAAGGTCTATTGACGTGGTTGTGTTTTCTAGTGCGATCCTCATAATATAAATAATGCCTTTTAATTAATTAATTAATTCTCTCTCTCTCTTCTTTAAGTAGTACTGTAAATTTTATGGAATATTAACACTACCTTTTACTACCATATTACTTAATTGTTGATTTGTTGGTTGATACATTGAAGGTAACACACCGTGGTTATAAAGACACAGTGTTGTTATATTCTAACCCATCCATATGTGCATGTAATCACTTGTGTTAACGGCTTCTTGTAGATCAATGTACCGACTTGGTGGACGACCAAGACAGTCGGATTCTGGAACTTGAAAAAGAAGTCGCCATATACCGTGAACAAGTTACGCACTTGAATGAGGTTTTAAAATTGCACTTCATCACAGAGCACGGCAGGGAATTCAAAGAAAGTGACTTGAAGATCAGCTAAGTTTGTGAACAACTTGGAAATAAAATGATCAAACATTCAAATTAAGCTTTATTGCACAATCTGTATCACATTGTACACATAATTGAGTGAATTACACAATATAACGCGTTATTATTATTGACTTTATTCCTGAATCTTTGGCATCCCAATAACAATATATAAAAAAGGGGGAGCATGGTCCATACAAAAAAAACACAATTACAAATCATTGAATTTACTTAATATTGACATAAAATATATGCATCAAGGCAGCACAATATTTCTAATAACAGACGAGAACACTGCACATCAAATATCTCATTGCTTGTGGAAAATGTGAAGGAAATTGTGGAAACTGTCATTGGTAAAAAGGGGCTCTTAGCGTTATGGTATATAAAAGTAAAGAAGTTATGTCCAGATATGATATAGTCCCTGTTGTGCAATAGTAAACAACATTGAAATTAGTAATTTTGAATCAGAACTTGAAATGAACACGTGTTCATATGTGGCATGATGTATAATTTAGGTACAAAGTTTGATTTCAATTATTCATGAATTTATTCATATTGTTCACTATTGTTTCTTGGGCTTGAGGTAAAATGTGTCTTTGTATAAACAGGATCCTTGTTTGAAGCTCAAACTTTCTGGAGAACGGTATTTCTATTACTATATAGTATCACAATGAGGTTGAAAATATTTACATAATTTCTTCAAATTTTGAGAAGAAACGCTGTAAATGTTGTAGAATTCGAAACACATATATGGTTAGAAGAACATGTCATATGCTGAGTATATTTACAAAACTAAAAATATACACATGCAAGTTATATTTACACTACAAAACATACTGTACCAAAAACAATGTATACTTAAATAAGGTACCGGTACATGTATCTAATAATATCAAAATTCAGTTTGACATTCGTGGGCTACCTTTATCAAATACTAAGTGCAAGTTCAATCAAGGGAAGCTTCTAACAAACTCATGTGGACTAATAAACATTATTGAGATTCTTCTGAATTGAGGTAAATTGATCAAGTTTAGGCACATTTAGTGAAATAATCAGGCATGAGATATGAAATGAACTTATAATCAAACAAATATGCCAATAAGATCATGTCCATTATGTTTTCATGAAGTTTGATATGTTTGACAATTACATGTAGCTGATTATTAATTATCTGATTTTAAACTTAATTGTTGCTTAGTTCATCCATCTCAAATAAGTTACATAGTATCAATCATATTTTCAAAACATTCAAATGTAGTTAAAGTTGCATTTATACTTTACAAATCTGCGAGGTTCTATTTTCTAGTGTCAGTTTAACTGCAGAATATACATTTAAATGTCCCTCTTAAAGTGGGGGAGTCATCATCTGCGCATGCGGCAGGCGACCATAGCGCGTCAGTTTACAAACAAGCGTCTACCCATGAGCCTTTGTGTTTTTACCATGCATTGTTATCATCCTTTTGGAACTCAACTCACATGCATGTGTGTGTGTGTGCGCAGGTGACAACCCTAGCGATATCTAAACAATGAACACTGACTAGTAGAAAATCAGTTACATTTCAGGTATGTTTTTTCTGAGGGATTGAAACATCCAGTACTCTCACAATGAAATGGATGGTAAGATAATGGCAGGATATTAACTTGGATATTTCATACTGATAGTTTTTAGTAAAAACTACACATTTTTTTTCAAATTTATAGTATGCCTGATTGCAATTTTAAGTTAATTTATGTATGGTACAATGTACCTTAAACATGATATACATTACTAAAAATAAAGCATAATTATTGAGGTGTATGTACATGTACAACCACAGCACAAGTATATTTAACAAGACCTTATGGCCATAGCATGTCATTGTTTACAAACAAGTGTCTACTCATGAGCCTTTGAATTTTTAGCGTGTGTTGTTATCGTTTTTAAATCATGTAGTAGTACTTTTGTGATGAATTCCAATTACAAGTAAGTGTCATTAGTGCCTTGAGGATATTCCAAAAACAATCTTATTGATATTGACTAATCAGGGAAATAAAATGCACAGATTTGAAAACAAATTAAATTAAATAACAGACAACATACGAACACATGCACAATAAAGATGAGACATAAAGTCTAAACTCTTGAGCTATTTTGTGCTTCACTCAAAAACAATGTTCAGAAAAAAATTATGTTACTATGGTTAGCTTATCTGTAATTGCAGTCAATGTATTACATGTATTATGAATCGTATGTGAACACTTGAGGGCTTATATAACAAAACACCAAAAGACTTTCACAATAGGGATCATCCAGATATCACATGAAAACTGATATACATGTACCAATTATGTATCACAGGAAAACTGATTTATCACTCAGGTATCCCATGAAAACTATTTCATCACTGGATATCCCATGGAAACTGATTCATCATTCGGGTATCCCATGGAAACTGATTTTTCACTCCGGTATCCCATGGAAACTGATTTATCACTTCGGTATCCAATGAAAACTGATTTTCACTGGGTATCTCATGAAAACTGATTTATCACTGGGTATCCCATGAAACTGATTTATCACTCAGGTATCCCATGGAAACTGATTTATCACTCCGGTATCCCATGGAAACTGATTTATCACTCCAGTGGCAAGTGGCAATTGTTTTAAAACAAATATGCACTGTCATTTACGTAAGCAATCTTGACTATAGCACTGTATTTATAGCTATTTTCAAAAGAGGGTCTATTAATCTCCATTCAAAGAGCAACACACCTTGACTAGGAGGCCTAATGAATACAGATGAAGATCATGATGTATTACCCTTATCTGGTCAAGTCAATAGAAAAGTACATACGGCTTGCAAGATAAGGTTTATTGCTAGATACGTTTGGCTAGTTTTTGTAAAAGAAACAACAGTTGCGGTGCTGTGGAAAATCTTCCATACTGCAAACTTGGATTTTGACATTCCTCCAACAATTTCACCAATTCAGCAGACTCTTTAACATATTCTGGAATATCATGCAATAAGCCATTAGGTTTCCCAGGAATACTGGCTTCTGTCCCTGGTTAAAAAAGATAGAATAATATATTGTGATCTATTGCTAGGCTTAGCCAAAGAGAACAGAATGATATTCCTATTCAGAGTAAGATTGTACATTTTTGTCCTTATTTACCAACTATATTAATATGAATTTGTTTTCAAAAAATCTACAAGAATGGTGCATGATAATTTCCAAGTATTCAAGAGAATTCATCTAAGAATAATTTTATTTGTGTAAAAGAGTCTTCAATTAATTAATACATACAGAGAATTCCATGGCACACGGCGTAATAATTATGATCAGCTTCAACCCGACTGCACAGATCATTAGGACTAAATGAAAGACAATTATGCTTGTCAATGCAATCATCGTGCACACTTTGTAACTTTTCATCCCAACGTGGTGGTTTATCTAGTAGCAAAAATAGAGATAATACAGTTATGACACTACATGTATACTCATATACTCAAAAACGAGCAATGTCAAAAATTTAAAAGTCATTAAATA